CGGTCATTCCGCCGTTCCCCCGCTACGTTGGGCGCCACTGTCACGACTGTAGGTTCTCGGGGCGCAGAGACAACACGACACGGCAGGGTTGGTCGCAATACAATATGTTTTTATTGCAATTTTCACACACACACACACACGGAGCAGTGAGGTCCCCGCGTCTCTCCCCTTGTCGCCGCTCTCACTGCTCTTAAAAAGACAAACACAACGTTAGATAGGCATCAGCTGTGCAGATGCCAATTGCTCCCACCTGGCACCGTTCCCTGAGCCACTCCCCCCTCTCTCCCGCTGCAGACGAGCCAAAACCACGCCCGCCACCACATCTGTCTTCCTCCAGAGAAAGAGGGAGAGGGGACAGAAGAGGGGGAGAGGAATAAAACAAGAAAGAAAAAGATTGGAAGCATCTATGAGGACGAACGCAGTCACGAATAAATGAGTTATGGACTAAAGCATCCATGACACGCAGAGCTCGGAAAGCACAGCATCACAAAGTATTCCACCCGCCAAAGTGGCTAGTGTGCTAATGTCAAGCCCTGCACACAGCGTGATGATAGTTAAATATTAGGTTTTATCAATTCCCACCCTTTACATTTAACCATGTGTTTACACAAACACAAAAAAATAGAGAAACACTTAGTTCTTCATAGTATGTTTAGCATGTTGTCTAAATAAGTCACAGTTTGGTTAAAAAAATGGCATAGCATCGTGTTAAAAAAGTATACTAAAGGATGTCAAAAAACGTCATTGAGAGCGTGAGACTGATAGGAGTGTATTGTTAATGCAGAATATATCAATGTGACCACTAAGTATCGTGAACAAGTCCGAAATCTCAAGATGGAGTTGATTCTTAAATCTTTCAATGATTAAACGTGGAGGTGGATTGTACTGCAGTCTAAACAAGACTATTGTATTTATCTACCTATTGTATGTATTTAGGTATCCACTGATGGAAAGAATTGCTGTTTGAAAAAGAAATAGACGTTAACACTTCTCAGATTTCTTGTGATTACGTGAAAAGGATCCCGTTTAAAATATGTACATGACATTCGTTGTCATGTAATGTTGACATTACATGACATTAAATGAGACATTCGTGTGAATTCTGGCCATTTTTGGCCACTTTAAGTAAATATCTATTGAGTTGTCATTTATAGTAATATTGACAAACTCCAACAGTCTGGATATTTGGTGAATTATACACTTTCTTCCATCCATCCATTTTTCAACCGCTTATCCGGGGTCGGGTCGCAAACTTTCCTTTCCTGGGCCACATCTACCAGCTGTGACTGGGGGGATCCCAAGGTGTCCCAAGGCCAGTGCAGAGATAAAATCTCTCGCCGGAGCCTCTTGCCAGCTGGCCGTGCCTGGAACACCTCCCTAGGGAGGCGCCCAGGGGGCATCCTCACCAGATGCCCAAACCACCTCAACTGGCTCGTTTCGACGCAAAGGAGCAGCGGCTCTACTCCGAGCTCCTCACGAATGGCTGAGCTTCTCACCCTATCTCTAAGGGAGACACCAGCCACTCTCCTGAGGAAACCCATTTCGGCCGCTTGTACCCGTGACCTAGTTCTTTCGGTCATGACCCATCCTTCATGACCATAGGTGAGGGTAGGAACGAAGATTGACCGGTAGATCGAGAGCTTTGCCTTCCGGCTCAGCTCTCTTTTCGTCACAACGGTGCTGTAAAGCGAGTGAATACCGCCCCCGCTGCTCCGATTCTCCGGCCAAACTCACACTACATCTTCCCCTCACTCGTGAACACGACCCCGAGGTACTTGAACTCCTTCACTTGGGGTAAGGACACATTCCCTACCTGGAGTAGACAATCCATCGGTTTCCTGCTGAGAACCATGGCCTCAGATTTAGAGTTTCTAATCCTCATCCCGACCGCTTCACACACACGCTACACTTTCTTCAGTCAGTGAATTTTCAGCAATTTATTTGGAATCAGTGGGTAAGAAATACTTAAATGGAACTTATACGGAAATCCACTTCTTTGAGGAGAAAACACCGTCCTCCCGGTCTCTCCTGCCTCCGAGAATCCTTCGGTCTTGGTCTGCTCTTCTCAGCTCGTCTCTCAACGGTGTGTCTTCCACCTTTATGAAGGCCTCCCGGTCGTCATACCCTGATGGGTTTCAGGTGTGAGAGGAATGCTCTGAGTTTCGGGGTGGAGTTCCTAACTCCACCAGCAGATGGTAGTTACAGCCATCGCCGGTGAACGTATCTCCCTTCCAAGACCCAGCCTTTCGTGACATCACAATACATAAACTTAGGTTTAAGGTTGATGCTGGAGCTTCGGACTGGAACTGGCGAGGCAGGGAGAAGACCTGGTCAAGGCGGAGGAGCAGGACAAAACTGGGGAATAAGCAAACGGCTGGGAGCTAAATCGTGGACACAAATACCACTACTAATAGTTAAGCAACCAAAATACTATTCGAAAGAACAGCAGCCGGGACGCTGATTACGCTGATAAGAGTAACTGACGAACTGGCAAAGACTGGAAGAGCAGACTGGGGGCTTAAATACTGGAGGCGAGTAGAGGCAATCAAGAAGATCAGCAGCAGGTGGCAGGAATTGCTTGAAGATCTCATCTAGACCAGCTGACAACCAGGAGGGGGAGGGGGGGAAACTCAAAAGACAGACAGACCCAACACAAGCATGATGTTGGGGGCTAAAGTCAACTGAGCCAATTATTTTCTTGGGAAATGGAAATGGTTTTGGCTGCCTCATTTTTTATGCTATTTTGAGACCAGAGTAATTATGGGTCACCCTGAAAGGATGTGCAAGTGTCTCTACATGAACTTGCCGCCTGCTCTTGTCACAGAAGTTTCAGCGCTGATAAGGACGTGTCACTGACCTTGAATATTTACAAAAGTGACACTGGAATTTGTTCTATGTACATGTTTTTCCCTTTATGCAATACAAGTCTTGACCTATGAGTAGTTTAACTGTGAATAGACCGTCCCCTAACTCAAACAACAAATTAGTAACAAATTCACAGGTTTACAGACCGTTGGAGTTTAGGTAATTCAAGATTTGTATTGATGGTGTAAAAGATACATTTGACATGACTTTTCCAGCAAATATGAAATATTCAAATATCAGAGTTGAAAATTTTACAGAATTAAAAGCTAACACACCTGTTACTGTACAAAACTGTACAAAACTAAAAACAAAATCTCTTTTTTGTAGACAAATAAGAAGATAGTGGTGCTTACATTGTGTCATTATTGAGCCACTAGAACGCTTAAACCTATACAGTATTGAACTGCACCAATTTAAAAGAATGTAATCTGCCATAGACAGAGCGTCACAGCGTTTTATACTCTCCTCTAACCAGCAGTGGCAGCACCTATGATTTAAAGCAGTAACTCAATCTTTCGCTGCTAAGGCGTGTATTTATCGCTGAAAACATCCCAGGTTGTGTTTGAAATGTGGAAACATTATTAAAATTGAAAATACACCAATGTTTTTGTTCTCTGTTTCAGGTTTGATTAACTCGTCCAATGAAATTACCGGCCCCTATTCCACCTAAGGCCCTTCCTCTACTCTCCCCACTCTTTCTCTCAGCAGGTTCTCCACACAACTTTATTTAATCTTTACTCTTGTACTTCCCTTGATAAAAAAAGTAGTTTTTCCCTTTATGTTGTTCTTTCTTGAAGTCAGGGTTATCTGAATAAAAAACAAATTTTTCTCCCCAGGTTACATCCTGAAGCTTTAACGGACCTTTTCTTGTGTGATTTATCTAGTTCTGTGTATATGTGAGAATGATTACCTCATTGTGTTAGTTTAACATTACATGTATCAAATAATAGCTATTTGTGCTGTGGGATGAAACTATTAATCGATCGTGTGAACCTTTGTTTGTTGAAAGAAATGCGGATGATTATTAGTTAGAAGCTGCCGGTCCAAGGTGATAAGTGTCAACTTAGGAAAGAAAGGCAGGCGCGCCTGATCTGACAGATCTGTGATGATTTTCTGTGTTGTAGATATATGAATTGTAGAAGTCAATACTCCAACCTGAAGTCAGAGACATTTTGACATGAAAATAAAGGTGGAGCTAAAATAGTTAGAAATTCCTTTTGGGATGAGATTCTTTATTCATTTAAGGGAAAGCCTCAGAAACTAAATGTAGACATCATGAGACATACAGTACAATAAAAACTCTTCACTCAGTGATGTAGTATGTTCAAGCTGAATACTGTACAAGTATGTATGAATATATATTATTATAAACAAATTACACTTCAATGTACAGATTTACACTAAAACTAGTACATGATTAACAGGTTGCGATTAAATGTCACCCTATCAATCCCAAAAGGTCAATTAATTTATTTTAATAACATCACTGATGGATGCACTCTTAACTGCAAAAAACAAACATAATTTTATGTTGTTGTAATAGTAACCAAAGTGATCCAATAACAGATATTTCAAGGTATGTTTTTTGTTTAATTTTTTACAGTTTTGTTAAAATGGATTTGACCCAGACAGTGTATGGGCAATCTTTTTATGTACACATATCCATTATTAAATACACAATGTAAAGATCTGTACCCTTTTGATTAATGCTTGTTGATGTTAAAATGCAAGATGCTGAAAAAACAACAAAAATAAAAACAACAAGACAATTTTAGAAAAGTCCATCGTTTCCATTAGAATTCCTAACAGCTCACGCAACAAACTGTAGCTGACCTTTCGTTGCTTCCATCTGTCAAGAGGTTTCCTTTTGAGTTTAAGACTTATTTACTGTAAATGCCACAGCATTGTTTCATGACAACGGTGTAAAAAGGTACAAAAAGTATGTTTAATGCAAGAAATTGCATGACTTTATTATACTGCTAGTAATGCAAGCGGCTTGGTTCTAAGAACCCTTTGACAGATTACCATGAGATTTTGTTCAGACATTAATGCCACACAGCTCCTATGACTTTGGTGATCTACTGTCTTTCCTTTTGTTCCACAAGGTAGATGTTTTTGGTTTTTTTGAATCCCGAGAAGCCAATGAAGCCGACAAACCTCAGCTATACTTGTCTTGAGTGCTGTAGATGTAACCATGCTAACATCATGTCAACCTGGTAAACATAATCACTTTCACTAATGCTGTTACGTTTTAAAATTCAACCCATCTATGTTCTACGCACTTTTTAAACTGCAGCTGCTGCAAAATTGGGATGTATAAAGTTATATTTTACATTCCTCTTCCAGCTGGGGTAGCTTACTTCTACTGGCCAAACAAATATATCAGACTGACTTGAATCAAATGCAACATTTGAACCATTATGATCGCCTGGGCTACCAGCAGACCAATTCTCTCTGACTACCTGCAGCCACACTCTGCCACCTTCATCTCCTCATAAAGGTATCTTATAGTGAGGCGTCCGTTCTCCTGATACATGACTGTGATGGGGTCCAGTTTGATGGGGACGCAGCAGGCCATGTTAGCCTTCTTGGGGTTCTTGATGTTCATCAGCGTCTGGATGAGGGCGTGTTTTGAAGGGGTTGATTCGTCCGTCAACGGGTGGTAACACAGACCTCGACATTCAAAGGCGTCATATTCTGGAGGCGCCACGATCCAGCTGTCCCAGCCGATGTCCTTAAAGTTGACCTTGAGAGAGGACCGCCGGCAGTATTCCCTCTCTGCCTTTCGTTTCTGTCTCCGTGGTTGTTGAACCTCCGGGATCTCGTTTCCGGCGCCGGAGTGTAGGATGGTTTCTTCCTCGTGCAGGATCATTTCCCTTAATTCCTTCTTTGTTTCCATCCTCTTGCTACCCAGGTCATCTGAGAAGACTATCAAAGCCGCTGAAGTATTATCTCCAACCGACACGCTCAAATTCAAACAGCCTGCGCTTTCTTCTTCGTCTTCAGAGGCCCCACAATCCTTCCCATCCACCACAACGTCAAACGCCAATGCTCCATGGCCCGACTTGATCCAGCTCTGAATAGCTGTGGTCACATCAAAAGTCTCCCACGTGCTCTCAAAGCCCGTCACCTCTTTACCAACCACCACTTGGGTGGTGGCTGGAAAAGTGTTGTAATCTACTTCATAGACTTTGATGGTGGCCATGACATTGTGGGAGGGGACCCTTGATCCGGCTTCTGGGAAGAAGAAGAGCTGCAGTTCACCAGTGGTGATCTTCTCATGGTTGGGGATACTGACGTTGAAGTGGAGCCTGTGCCTCGACTTTGTTCCGTTTGTCACAGAGAGAGGGATATCTGTTGGATAGAAACCAAGAGGGGATGAAACGGCCTCCAAGATTTGCACTCCCTGAGATGAGACTGTTTTTTAAATAAATCAGTAGGACAAGTATCATTGGGGTTTGTTGTAGCTTGTTCACTCATTTGTATTTATTACAAAATAAATACAATGATGTCTATTACCCCCTCTTGTTGTGAAAATGACTCTCCTTCCCACTTGATTTAACACTACTTCTGTAATCATTGTGAACCCATTGTGAATCCGAACGGAGTTCATGGTCTCAAACACCAGTTTCTTTTTCAATACACCACACTGTTCATTTGGTAAATTATGGTCCCATTTAGAATAAAATAGACCATAACGTAGAGTAGGCCTCAGGGCGGTGCTACATTGTGACTGACAGGTTCCTAGCAGAGCCTCGTTCTGCACCTCTACATCACTCCTCTGCAGTCCACATATGGTCGTTTTCATGAACTGGTTGTTCACAGTTGACGGACCAATGTGAATGGATAACGTCACGACTTTGTCCACGTCCAGGCCAAAAGTTGGTTTAAAATTGTTTATACTGTAAAATCAATGCAAAACGAATTCTAACATAACAATATTACAATCACAAAACCTAAAGCTGCAATATATACATTTGGCATGGAGTCATTTCTAAAGACTGAGCTCTGTAACTATGGGGATTACCAATGGTAAACAATCCCGATAAGAATAGCAGCCACCTTTATTAACAGGAAATGGCTACCTCAAGCTAGACGATTTAAACATTCCTGTACCTTGGACGGTGAAGCTTCGAATGACATCAGACTGAGGGTTTGCCGAGCTGTTCGAGGCGTACTTGTTGTAGAGCTCCATCATGAATTGAGGAGGGCAGATCTTGCTGTTTTCCTGAGGAACATCCGACAGGTTGAGTTTCCTCAGAAAGTCCTCCTTCATTGTTCCCAGGAGATCCTCCATCCTGAAGTCGTCTTCTTCCTCCACTAGAAGATCCTCCTCTGACAGCTGGGAGTAGAGTCCCTCAGGGTCCTCACTCCGGATGTCATTATTGAGAGGTTTACAGGTGCAGAAGCCCGTACAAACCACCAGACACAAACAGAACTGGAACAGGGAGGATCTGGAGTTCCACATTTTGAAATTAGGTCCTTTCTAATCCACTGAGCTGGCACAAACTTTACCTTCTGCCCGGCCTGAAAACAGACTTTGCGACGACAAGGTTGGAAAATGGAGATCTCCAATGCAAGGACCACAGTCCTGATGTCCGCTCCCATGCTCCCAGAGTAAACAGGGGGACTTGTGACGACCAAAATAGTAGCTTGGCCAAGCTTATCACTGCCATTGATGCCTTCTTTTGAGAGTTGTTATCACAAGAGGGCTGGCTGCTAATGAAGACACTGTAAACACTTGACAGCGATAATGAGGGATGCGCTGGTTACTGACAAGCAGATATTTCCATAAAATGCTTTTTCCCAGCTTGAGTGTGACATTGTTGAGGCCTGTGGAAACAAACAAGTTAAAAGAAACCGCACATTGCGTTCTTGACCAGAAAAAATGTTAAATATTTGTTAGAAGTTAATCTAGTTTATCTCATATCCAGCCGCCGTCCATTGCAGGTCAAGCATATGTTCATACAACGAAATATCTGGTGACTTTTATCTTTTCAATGGATCTAATAAGGAATACAGTCCACTATGTTTGACACAGACAATTCGGAGGACTAGCAAGTGAATATTCTTGCAAACCAGTCAGTGACAGAAAGCAGTCACAAGTAAATTGTAAATTAAATCTAACATACATAACATACCTAAAATCACACAAGTTTGGATATTTAAATCAACCTGGCCAATTATAAATGAACCTCATAACCAGATCTGATTAAAAAAAAGATATTAACAAAATATCGGCATGCATCTGCATGAGCAGTGCAGGTGGCGTCATTTCATGCAATTTACAGTTAGTTTCGAAAAGATAGTGAGCGCGCCATTATCTAATTGAGGGACCACATAAGACGCTTACCAAAACCAATGGCTTCAGTGTAACGTGTTGTGTGTTTAGTGTTAGTGCAATGTAGTTTGGTGAAACTGCTCAGAGAACTACATCTCAGCCTCATGGAGGAACTTCAGCTCTCTATGCCAAAACAATGCTTTGGTCACTCCAATAAACAGAACTGGTAACATATTTAAGTCGATGGCTCCAAGATGGTTTCTTCCAGTGGATGCATCTATATAAGACATCTAAAATTCAGGGACCACAACAGGGAAAGGCCGTGCTTATACTTCAGTTCAGTTCCAGATGCCATCAACATAAAACTTGCTTGCACCCAACACATGTGAACCAACCTGTTGTGTCTCTACAACCAGGACATCTTATCAATGTGAGACACTTCCGTTATTTTCCCCATGGCCTCCCCATCCCAGCACTTGCAATTAATAAACTGGTTGTAGAAAAGCATTTTTAAGGGTTTAATACGGAGGCCCTCAAGTGCAAAACACAACGGCAAATAGGAAAACACAACAAAATTAACTTCTTACGGAAAGGGTGGGGCCTTATTGCAGAGGACAGACCCTTCTGATTGGACAGACGGACTGTCTGTCGGTCTTTTAACAGGAAATGATGCAGGGCTCTCAAGTGTCACGCACTCACGCCACACATCCAATTCCTCACGCCAAGGAATCGGACTCCGGTCCCCGAGTCGTGTTGGCCATAGCGTCCGCGGTCCCCCCAATATTATTTACTTTTATTTACAACACCTAAATATAATTGAACAACAAAACAGCGGTAAAACAATGGTGAAACACTAGTAGGACACTTTTAAGACACTCGTGAAACATCGCCAACTCAATAACTCAGATTGGTGCTTATTGGTGAGGATTGCAGTGGCGAATGTCTGGAGCCAACATTCAGCACAATGTTTACTGTTTCTAAAACAGAAAGTGATAAAACATTCTTCTTTTAAATAGTTTAGTCTGTTCAACTTTCCCAGAATGCACAGCAGGTGGCAGCAACGCACCACTCCACCCTCTCCTTTAAGAAGCAGGAGCCAGCTACACATTACGTCTCACTAATAATAAAATGGCATCAAAGAATACCATTTAGTTTGCATCAGTAACGCGAGGGTAGTGGATCTGATACATATTTATTTAATGCAGCCAATAAATCCAGAAGCGGGACAGATGTTAGTATCCGTCCAACCATCCTCATTATTGTTCACCTTCACGATGAGAAGCTGTCCTCTTTGATCCTTCTTGAAGAAAAGCTGCTTGTGTTTTTACAGCAGCAAGTGTTCCTCTCAACTACCTTTTCGGTCCAACAAAGTAGGTTCCATCAGATCAGAAGTGAGAGAATTGTCCTCTCCTACTGTACATCCAAAATAGTAATTAGTAATAGAGTTTTTACCTTGAGTCAGTATCCAAATAGTAGGAAACTTCCAAGGGGGCTCCTCTGCATGCCATGCACATGACTCCAGGGTGTCAAAATAGTCAACTCCAACCTTGGTACATGGAGGCAGGTCATTTCTTTTGCTCACCAACTTCATGCGCATCAATATTAGAGTGGATACATGTTGATTTGGGGTCGGATGACGGGATGTTTTGTCTCCTCATGCATGGCTGCCTTACTTAATCAATAGAAATCAATCTGTGCACAGGTTCAAATATGTTTATGACGGCAACAAGACAATTCAAAAATACTTTGTATTCCCACAGACAGATTCCCTTCATTTTGGGCAAGTCATTTTCTAGCAGGTCTGGGATCAGAGGTCTACAGTCGGGTTCAGCCTGGCTTTACTTTGTCTCTTCTCTGATTGTTTGCTGTTAATCATTCTGTTCATACACGTGATTGTGACCTGCAGTCTACACTCGCCGATGAACCTTCTTTTTCTTGTCACCTCTCCAGATCGACCTTAATCCAGATCATGCAGAGGTATTGAGACTTTTCACATGTTGCCTGTAAAAACAGAGAAGTCCAACAGCATTCAGAATGCAGCAATTGCTGTAAAAATAAAATGAGAGTGTGTATTTAAATAGTTTTGCTTTTATTCATTATCAAAATATGGGGAGGCCAAATTAATCTCAAACTCTATTGAATAAAAGAGGCCAAACCCACTCAAGCATTGTTATATTTTCCCCATCACTCATGAACCTCCTGAAATATTCTCGGGGAATAAGGAACCCTCCCCCGTTCATTCAGAAAAGTTACCCGACCCTCACTTCAGCTAGTTCAATTCAAAAGGGGTGCACCTATCGCTTCCCTTTCTGTTTTCTTGTTTGCCAAGTTTCCATCCTCACGTGTTTCCTGCAGGTACCGTAGAGAGAGATGTGGTCTGAGATCAACACATCAGAGGTGAGTGCCTGGTTGGAATCAAACTACAGGAGCTTCTACATCCAGTACTCAGCAGCGAGAAGCTCCTCCGTGACATCAAACTCAGAATCCCTGTTCGACTAGCTCACTCCCTTCTTCCATCCTTTAACGTCTCAATCAGCCGGCGCCTCGTCACTCCCCAAAGGCCGCGATGGGCCTTCGGCAGGTGTCGAACACACACAAGCAGATATTCAATGCACAGCACGCAAAGATGCAAGCTCAGTTCGCTATTTACAGATTCCCTTTACGCACACAGGTCGGAGCAGCTCCTCGGTGCCGCATCAGCACCATCTCTCTCTCTCTCTCTCTCTCTCTCTCTTTCGTACAGGGAGCGGATAAGTCCTGAGGCCATGCAAGTAATTAACTTCAGTGGGCACCAAAGGGCTGCAGTGCCTCATGGTCTAAAGACCTCCTCTGTATTCTACGACTCGCTGACAGCAGTTGTGAGTGCTGCAGAAAGCGGTGTGGACTGCCGTCTCTGTTTGTCTGTGAGAACGTTCTCCCACTTCCCTCAGCCGTATTGGGAAATACTCTCATTTAGTGTCTTGCTGAGTCGGATAAGAAGATTGCCGCCCTCACGTGGTGTGTGTGTGTGTGTGTTTAAAGTAACCACACCCAGGAAGTGATTATCTCAGATTAGAAATAAGACCAACTATCTATCTGTTGGGACCTCTGGAGTTTAATAATTGACATGTTGTATCTCTTTGAAATGAAGGTGACTTAGCATTGAACCTCCATATCTGAGGGTCTGAGTGGCCAGAGACAGAACAGAGACTAAAGTTCTAAGAGATATCATGACTCTTAGTCCTCAGTGTCGCTCAAACCGAAAAATACCACCTGCCTGACAATGCAGCTCAAAGGCGTGTCATCGCCAGACCCTCCCTGGGAGGTTAACGGCCGTACCGTCCACATGTATCACGCCCTCCTGTAGTGATACCATCACACCAGAGATAGAGGCTGAGACGAAGAGCCTTTTGCAGTCCCGTCTGCGCCGTGTTGGCTGGGGTACTTGTGTACTTGTTTGTTGAAGCGAAGGACTCAGCGTTTCAGGGACAGCAACCGTTTCCCCGTTAGGGCCTCCGTCTCCCTCGTCCTGTGAACTGACGTGAGAGGAGCGGTCACAGTTGGGTGGATGCTGCTGCGACTGAGGCGCCTTTGATAGCAGAGGATGTGAAGGCTGACATTTGCCCTGGCGGGGGGAGATGGAGGATGGAAGAAGGGAGTTCCGGGGGGCAAAAAGAGAGGAGTACACCGAGAGAATAGCTGGAGTGTTTTGTTCTACACACCTGTTTGTTTGAAAAGCGAGAGAGCAAGAGGGCAGAAAGGGTGTGGGGGGGTGGGGGGGGGTTGCAGAGGAGGTGCAGGTGGAATATCGTCCCTTTGAGCCGGCCATGTCGTCCAGTAATGTGATGCAAGATTTTCTCGGAGCAGTCGTAAATAAAGTGTTTTTCTTGCAAGGGATAAAAAGTGCAGCTGCTTGTGGCCGACTGTGGCAAGATTCAACATTTCAGAAGCATCAACAGAAGGTTAATACATAGACAGGGGAGGACACCGTTGTTTTCTATGATTTCCATGATACACTAAGACTCTTATTGTATCAGGCCGAAGTAGACATGAGGGAGGGAGACACAGCACATCCTTGATGAGATTTAGATTTTTCCCCGAAGAAGCAAATATCGCATTGTGAGTTCAAATAAATATTTGATTTGTCTGTGGGCTCCATTTAAAAACCTTTTTTTTTTTTTTTCTTTGAATAAATACACAAACCTGGTCGGGAGCACGTGGGCCTTTTTGCAGGGGCGGCTGCACTCCCGGGTGTCCAGTCATTATGGAGACAGGGTCTTGTTACATAACCTGGGGACTCAACTGTACCAGGGAGAGTTACGTAATGCACTCATTGCGGCCTGGTTTAGAAGTGGCGTGGACCTCCAACCGGAGTGAGAGTGGGCAAACGGACAGAGACGAATGATGGTTTCTGTTGAAAAATTGCGCACTGTTGTATGTTAGCTGAGTCAAGAGCCTCAGAAGTAGCGTCTAAAAAAAAGAAGCTTGACTGTCGAGTTAGAGAAGCTCTACGGGTCAACTGGGTAGGTTCATCCCAATGGAAGCGTCAATTAATTGACCGCATCAGCCCAAATAGCTCTGAGCTCTCAGTTTAATTGGAGGGAATCATTAGTCCAGACGCTCTGAAGCCACAGGACAGAATCAGGGCAGCGTCCTACTGGGATGGAGGGTGTAGTGACACCACAGAACGTGTTGCCGTATATCGCTGTGAAACTGTGTGAAGGGAAGAGTGACCCACGAGGTCTCCTTTCAGTCCCACACAAAGGTTGCATATTGTTTCCCTGTTCAGTGCTGAAAATAACAAATGTTTGAAATGCAAGGCTCACACGCACAGCATTTCTCATTCTGTGTGTGCGTTTGTGTTATTGTGGTAGCAGGATTTAATTAGGTTCAAAGGATGGTTTTGGTTAATGATGACTTGGGTCTTATTTTTAACTTGATGAAGGAAACCAGTGTGTGCTGGTATAATAATCAGCATTTTCGTGAAATATTTCATTAGCTGAGGAACAGTTGATGTAAAAAGCTGACGTAAAAAAAACATTAAACATGTATTAACATCATGACAATAATATTGTTTGGTAGAGTTTCAATGCTGATTCGTACAGTAAGTCAGAACACTGAATTACTAAATGGGGTCATGTGTCCATAG